GAAACCCAACACTTTTTAAACATTTCTGTCAAACGGGCTTTTGCGAGCAACTTTTTCGAACTTCTGCGACAACGGTTGCGCACCTGCCAGGGCCATCATCCCTGTCAAATAATACCATGCGGGACACATTCGTTTTTTCTTCGCGCGCGCACGCCGAAATCTCCAAAAACCATTGGGTTCTTAAGAATTTTACCACCGCGCATCATAAAATCACACGAATCGCACCGTAGGTCCTCGAAAAACACCTGCACGACTTTTCAAAATTTCTACCCGCGCGCGCTGTCCGAATCCTAAAAAAACCAATGGTTTTCCAACATTTATGTTACATGAGCTCGCGCGAGCTACTTTCGCACGCTCTTGCAACGGGGTTCGCGCGCCTGCCAGGGGCCACAATCCCTTGCGGTTGCGCCATAGGTTGCGCCCTCGGCCGCCGAGAATAAAACGTCCCCCTATGGGTGTGTACTCCACGCCAGTGTAGTAGCCACGGTCGTCCGCAGGCCACGAAGTGAAGTGTCCGAACGTCATAGGGCGGGAAGCTGGGTGTGGGTGGTGGCGAAGAGTCGTGTGGATATTTGGTAGAGCTTGCACTGCCCCCCCACAAAGTGGGGGTATTGGCTGGCGTCGCATGAAAACCCTGGCACTGGTGAGAACACTGAGCGTTCGGGTAAAGTGATTGTTGTTGTTGTTGTTGTTGTTGTTGTTGTTGTTGTTGTTGTTGTTGAACATTATTACTTCTAAAGAATAATTATTGTTGGGGCCCCTGGTGCACGGCCCCCTCGCCGCGCCTAGGCCGCAGCCATGTTTTCATCATTTTCGTGAGGAAGTCTCAGGCAAAACGGGTTGGTCCGGATCCGGTTGTTTTGTTACGGGCGGTTTTCCCTTGCAAAAAATAAGGCAAAGTGGACATTTCTTGTTCTAACATAACCAAACTTCAAGAATCCCTTGCAAAAAATAAGGTAAAGTGGACATTCGCGCGCGCAAGACGAAATCCTTCCAAAACCTTAGTGTTCGTAGCGATTTTAACATAAAAACATCAAAAAACCAATGGTTTTTCAAAAAAAAAGTGTCAAAATTTCATCCCGCGCGCTCTTGCGGATTTGTAGGAAACCCAACACTTTTTTAAATATTTCTGTCAAACGGGCTTTTGCGAGCAACTTTTTCACGTGCTTCGAACTTCTCCAACAACGGTTGCGCACCTGCCAGGGCCATCATCCCTGTCAAATAATACCATGCGGGACACATTCGTTTTTTCTTCGCGCGCGCACGCCGAAATCTTCCAAAACCATTGGGTTTCTTAGGAATTTTAGCACCGCGCAACATAAAATCATACGAATCGCACCGTAGGTCCTCGAAAAACATCTGTACGAATTTTCAAATTTTCTACCCGCGCGCGCTGTCCGAATCCTAAAAAACCAATGGGTTTTTCAACATTTATGTTACATGAGCTCGCGCGAGCTACTTTCGCAAGCTCTTTCAACGGCGTTCGCGCGCCTCAAAGCAGTCCAGCCAAAGCAGCCCATATCATTGTAGGACCTACAGACAGTACCGGCGTCGTACTGGTTTACCGTGGTTTCCTATTCTAGCGTCAGGAACACGTTACCACCAAAAACCAGTACAGGTGTCCAGTGTTGGAACAGGGGGAAAAGTCGTATACTAAGCTAGCGTCCAGAAAATGTTACCACAACAAGTCACTGTACCCATGCGCCAGTGTAGTAGCCACGGTCGTCCGCAGGCCACGAAGTGAAGTGTCCGAACGTCATAGGGCGGGAAGCTGGGTGTGGGTGGTGGCGAAGAGTCGTTTGGAAATGTGGTAGAGCTTGAACCGGCCCCCCCACAAAGTGGGGGTATTGGCGGGCGTCGTATGAAAACCCTGGCACTGGTGAGAACGGAGTGTCCCCACGTGCTAGTAATTGTTGTTGTTGTTGTTGTTGTTGTTGTTGTCGTTGTCGTTGTTGTTGTTGGTGTTGTTGTTGTTTTGTTGTATGTTTTTTTGTGTATGTGTTGTGTGTGTTTTTGTATGTTTTTTTGCTTCCCGCCCCCTCGGGACCGCCGCAGTGATGGGCTCCAGCAGGGCGCGCCTCGCCGTGGTGGGTTCCCATGGGGGGTGTGCCCCTGCGTCGCCCCGAGCGGCTGCCCGGGAGCCGAGGCAGGACCCGAAGACTGTGGGACAGCACTCGGAGGGGGCATGGTTGATTCGTGCATGTCCCTTCACTCTGCACGAACGAGATGGGCACGGAAAGAAGGGGTACAATGCTCAACAGCAGTTCCTCTTCATTTTGAACAGGACTCGCTGTCCGCGCCGCCGCGGCCAGTATCCATTTGAGACAGAAGGCCGCCTGCCCAACAGCGGCCGCTGTTGGTTTGGGACAACATTTGTTGTTTGGCATTGTGCCCATGGGGTCAGTACCCATTACGGGCGTCCAAATTCACATCAGGAGTGTTTGAAAATAAGTGAAACAATCTCGGAGCGATTCTTTGACTATTTTCTAGATGTTTTTTGGAGTGCTGCGGATTCCGTATTTAATAGTCAGCAAAATGAGGGGGCGAGTCTTGGACTAGTGTTGAGTTTTTGGTTGAGTACTGCGGATTCCTTAATTCCCGACCCAAGGGTCGGGTGTAGGGTCAGTTGGGACGTATCGACACCCGATCGCCCACTCATCGCAGATGGAATGGCTGGAGAAAGCCTTCCCCGCCCATCGAGGCGCGGATCCGCTTTCGGGGGCCTACAGCCGATCTATCGGCGATGTATGGCCGATTCCAGCTGGATGGTTCCCTCGCGGAACTGGCCCCACTGTACCGTTCATTCTTGACCTCGGTCGTCGTCCTTGCTCTTCCTCGGTCGTCGCCGACGTCTGCCCCACTCTTCCCGTCCTCCGATTGGTTTTGGGGGGCGGAGTGGGCGTGATGGAGGTGGTTGGGGAGGGGGGGGGGATGAGGAGGAGCTGAGGCGGGGCTGGATGTTGGAGGAAGAGAAGGTGGAGGAGAAAAATGGTCCGGAACCATTGCGGCCTAAGTTTTACACTTGTGTCGTGGGGCTCGACCTCGGAGGTTTCCGCCGCTGCACGACAAGTATCATGAGAGGCGCCTGGACGCATTACTGATCCACTCGAATAAGGGGGGCGTACATTTCCACACACATCTGCATGCCCGCGATCGGCCACATGTCGGGCAAGGATGGTGTCGGTATCATTTCGCGTGGAAGTTCGGTTTGTGGCATTGGCGGGTGTCGAAGATATCCAGGCAAGTACAGCTGAAGCTACATCTACGGTCGTTCCCTCAGCCATTTCAAGCCGAATGATGCTGCCAAGAGTCTCGGCGCGTGGCCCCCGTCAGAGGGTGGCGCCACAGGTTGGGACACGTCGTTCGGCCAATGCAAATAATGATGGACAAACCAACACAGGCGCCGCAGATGGAACATGTGTGACCGCGAGCCCCAGCCCACCAAAGCCCAGCATGAGTATGTGAGGTACGCTTTGAAGGCATTGCTGAGGACGCTGCAGCGCTGCAGGCCCTCCACGCCAAGAGGGAACTGCACAAGAAGCAGGTCACGACTGAAGTCGAGGAGTCAAAGGCCCAGGCGGCTCAACCTCAATGGCTTCCTGCACCCAGCACTTTTGAATTTGAGCTCCGTACCCGGACGAGTCTCGGTACACTCGCGGAGAAAAAGGCAAGATCGATCAGGAGGCAAAAGTCTTGTGGGCAGGCCTGACCAGCCAGCACCAACGCCTGCAGCAGCGGTTGGTTCAGGGAGCTCGGGGCTGCAGCCAGGACGTGGACGTGGGCGCGGATGACGACACATTCGACGATCCCCTGACAGCTGAGGAACCCACGAAGGGCATGGACCAGGCCGAGAAGAGGGGGCTGGCCAGAAAGCTTGTGGCGAAGGCAACAAAGCTAGGAGGGCCCGCGCCAACCGCGACCTGCCGCTGGCGCACAGCCTCCAACTCCTCTTCAGCAGGATCTCGTACCCAGGACCTACCTCATCAAGCACGTCATCTGCATCATCAGGTTCACGAGGCGGGAGAGCGAAACTAGCCCCTGAGAAGGCCGATTTGTCCGCTGGAGGGGGGAGGGCCGAGCTGGACTGCCGCGCCCCCTTTGATGGCGTGGCTCGGCGCGACGAGCATTGCCAGCATGTCTATGCCAGCTGAGGAAGCGGAGCGGCGGGGGCCAGCCGACCCCCGAGAACGGGTGGACTGAAGGAGGGGAAGGGGACCCCCTGCTGCCACAATGACTTCGGCGCCGTTGTCTACGGGACAGAGTGCTTCCGGCATGTCCATGCAGGCCGAGGGGCACCGCCACGAAGCCAGGCTTCGACAAGGCCGATGAACTGGCTGGGGGGGAAGGAGCCAGGGTGGGCTTATATGTTTTCCAACGACCATCTTTGGGATGGAGGATACTTGCACTCCTCCTAAGGCAAAGAGATTGGCAGTCCTGCTCACGCCTGTGCGCTGTGGATCCTGAGTGGCTTTCGAAGATGCCCAGTGCTACTCAGCTGGGGCATCGCCATGCTAGAGGAGACTAAGTTGAGAAGCGATTCGCATACTGCAGCCATCAAGAGTATTCAAGCTGCAGCGTGGAGGCTCTCTCGGGATAGCGAGTTGTACGGGGTACGCCGCCCTCGTCTAAGGCCATCTCGTGCGCGCAGTTGTTCAGGTCGGGCAGATTGGGGCCGTTGCGGTGCACTGGGGCGCCGCTTGCCACTGGGAAGAATTTTCGGTTGGAAACTTGCAGATCTGGCTCGCCCTGGGAGTAGATTTGGCCAACCATCCGTAACTGGGCCTGATCGGAGATGGCTTCACTGCGCGCCCTGATGGTTTACTCGAAGACGTACCTAGGGGGCATCTCAGAGGCGCAGTGCGATCCAGCCGCAGCGAAGGTCACGCTTGCAGCGGCATGAGCCAAACTAGTGAAGATCGCGCTTGCAGCGGCTGACGGGCCAGTTGAAAGAAGTCTGGATTGTTTGCGGCCGCCCGCGCGGAACCCGCAACCCCGCGGCGATGGATGTCAGGCCCCAGGTCAGCGGGGCCCCCGCGAGGGTCCCTGATCCGCTCCGGCAGTTTCCTGGCGAGCCCGCGCTCGTCGCGCCGGCGGAGCCGCCATCCTGCGACGCGCCCATGCTGCAGAGATCCTGGAGACATCGCGCACGTGATAATTTGCGGGGGCAGCGTGGTGACCGCTCCAAGGATGCCCGAGGCAACAGATGCCCCGCGTCCACCGATCACTCCGGGGCGGAGTTGGAACAGGCGACGCGCGCCCATGGCCAGGCCCCAAGAAGAAGTAGTGCACCCGGAGAGCGCGCGGCCAAGCCCCCATGAGAGCGCAGCACGCGAAGAGCCACCTCTGCGAGCAACTCCAGAGATGCCTGGAAGGCCAACCGTTCGGTGGAGACCCAGTCAACCTTGCAGTTCCTTCAAAAGCACCCCTCAGTGGAGACCCGTTTCGGAAGTGAGGGGGCATCCCTTTCTGAGCCATGTAGAAATCGCGCGCGCGCGCGCGTTGTCGACCCAGCCTCTCGGGGCCGCGAAGTCCCCCCTTCCTTCTCCGCCGTTTCGTCGGGCGCCCAAGCGAACGGGCGCGCCCGTCCAGCAGGGTAGCCGCGGCCCTTCGCTACACGGAATGGCGCGCCCAGGCCGCCGATGGCGGGCCCGCGCAGGCGCGCCGATTTTCACGCGGCAAACCGGCGCTCAAACCTGAGACCTACGGCACCCCGCCCTCACCCCCCCCTTCGGGCGCGGGCATCGCTGGACTTCCCCGGGGTTTCCAGGACTTCGCCCATGCGCCCCGACGACGCGTCCGGGTGACCTGCGGTGGTCCATCGACCACCTAGATGGCCCCCTCGGACCATTCGGAGCGGCGCGGACAGGCAGGACCTGGCGCTTGGGAGGCTGCGGGGCTCGCCATCTGCCCCTGGGACCTCCTGGACGATTTCTCGGCTGCGCGCGGCTGGGCTCGGACCCTGTTTGACGACGGTGCAATTGCATGCTGCGCGTAAGCGACGAGAGATTTCGCGCCTGGGAGTAACGCGGCGACTTATCAACCGTATCAGTTTAATCTCGGCGCGGAAGCGCGCGCGGGCTCGGCCTGGCCAGAGTTCTCAAAGTCTCCGCAGTGGTGACTTGTTCTCAAACTGAAACGCCAGATTCGTTTGCAGCGCCCTGCGCGGCCTAGCAGGTAGCGCGCGCATGCGCCGCCTATCCAACATGTGTCTTCCCATGGTTGCGGGCGCGTTTGGCATGGCGGCCGCGAGTTGCCTGTGCTCCAAGAAGCTGAACTGGCGCTGGGTAGTTCGGCGGCCCTGCTCACAGCGCGCCTCGCCTCGGAGCGGGTCAATTGGAGGAAGAGCTCGGACGAACTTGCCTATCATACAAAACGCGGGGTATTTTGCCCCAGCGGCGCAAGAACATATAGCCTTGAAGACCGCGGGCGAAGCCGGTGGCCGCCTTGCATATGCTAAGTTGACGCCGAGCTTGATCTGTGGCAGCGAGTTTGCAGAACCTTCCCCACGCCAGGTTATGCAGATGCGCGAGGTAGCTGCCAGGGCCAGTGGGGGTTCCATCAGGGGCGCTTCGAATGAATTTGGTTTGAGTTTGCCATGGTCCAGGGATCTCCTGGATGCGCGGCAACCGCTAACGCGCAATGCAGGATAATGGTGGGCGCTCTCAACCAAGCCGAGCTGCCCGCGCCGGCGCGCGCGCGAGAGCGCGAGGGCTGCCGACGCGCCCAGTCAGACTCTTGACGCTGCTCCACGACGAATCTTAGAGACCCCCATAGACAGGGTGGATTTCCAAAAGTAAGGGCCCTTGTTCGGACGTGATCGCGTGGCTCCTGGGGGCCGACCGGGAGGTCCTAGTGCATGCGACATTGCTTCGACCTGAGGGGCGTCGGAATCACCCTCCCCACCCACGGCCCGGATAATTGGCACGGGCTCATTACGGAACAGCAGAAATACACATTGGTTCGGCGAGCTGTCCACAGAACATCGCCAAAGCAAGCCTCGCATGTGGCCCTCTGGCTGGCGCCCGCCCGCAAGGCGCTAGCGCGCGGCAAGCTTGGGCTACTTTCTGATTCCGCCAGAGTTGTTGCTCCTGGGTGCCCGCGCGCGCGTGACTCGAGGCTTGGGGCTTCGGTGTGTACGTTGAATGTTGGTGCCGCGCGCAGCTTGATACCCTATGGCGCAGGGCGTGGACTTGTTGCCACGCCCAAAGGGGCAGGGAGACGGAACTGGGCCCAATGGGCCAGCAGGCCAAAGTAGTTGGCGGGGGCCACCCCCTCAATCTACAGCTAGGCTGCAGCCGTGAAACGAAATCCGGGGGCCCACGTTGCGAGAATGTCACGTCCTCGGTGGTCTGGCCATCTGCGTGGGAGCAGCAAGGAACTCACAGAGACAGCGACAGCCGAACATGCAAACGTAGAGTGCGAGAAGGTGGAGGACGACTGGGGCGAAAGGGGAAACTGAGGGTTTTGTGGAGGTGGCGCAGGAGGAGCTGGCCGAGAAGGGCGGATGCGACCTTGGAAGAAGCTAGTCGCTCTAGTTGCCGTGATCCTGACGATTCGCCACGCGGGAACATGGGGTCTGGAGCGAAAGGGTTCTTGTTTGTTCTTGTTTTCAGTTTTCGGTCTCCCGGGGCTCTTTCCAGGCCATGGGGCACTGAAGGTGTCGAGAAGAGCAGCAGCAGCAGCAGCAGCAACAGGAGGGGGAGGAGGAGGAGGAGGAGGAGGAGGAGGAGAAGGAGGAGGAGGAGGAGGAGGGGAGGAGAGGAGGAGGAGGAGGAGGAGGAGGAGGAGGAGGAGGAGGAGGAGATGCGGAGGAGGAGGAGGAGGAGGAGGAGGAGGAGGAGGAGGAGGCGGAGGAGCAGGAGAAGGAGGAGGAGGAGGAGGAGGAGGAGGAGGAAGAGGAGGAGTAGGAGGATGGAGGAGAAGGAGGAGGAGGCGGAGGAAAAGGAGGAGGAGGGAGGAGGAGGAGGAGGAGGGAGGAAAAGGAGGAGGAGGGGGAGGAGGAGGAGGAGGAGGAAGAGAGGAGGAGGAGGAGGAGGAAGATGAAACCTGGGCCCTGGGGGGGCGCCTGGGTCCACGCCCCGATCCCGTGATGACCCCTCTCCAGCATGGCACGCGTGCTTTACTCCACTGCTCCCTTTCAGTGCGCGCGACGCTGTGGCCACAATTACACCTGAGAAAAACCCAATCAGTGGATGGTTTGACATTGGATCGATAAAGAGATCGATAGGAAGATCGACCGAGAACCTGGGAACCCGGGAACCCCGAACCCACCGAAACCCGCCCGGAACCAATAAGCAGGAGCCCGGGAACCCGGGACCAGACGGCCCCAAATCTTTCAATATCCGCTGGGACCCCTTCAGTGCAAACCCTGATTGGGAATGATGTAAGTTCAAGGACAGCCCTGAAATCTAGTTCTCGTTCTCTCTCTCTCTCTCTCTCCCTGTGTCTCTCTGACCCCCTCTCTCTCTGTCCCTCTCTCCGTTCCGCTCTCTTCATCCCTCTCCCTATCCATGCTTCTGTGAACGTGCGCACACGTTAGTTATGTGCATACGTGAATGTCTTCAATAGATGCTACATTTAGATGCATGGATTATCATCCTGTTTGTCATCCGCTCCCCCCGCCAGAAACTCAGCAGAAGCTCTCCAAGTCGAAAGGGCGTTGCGGCCTCCAAGCGAGGCATCAAGACACATAAAAAGAGCTTCCCCGCATCCTTCATCTGGGACGCGGACAATTTCCTGCTGCGCCTCAAGGAAGCGGAGGACCGCCTGGGAGGGGGAGGCGGATGACAACACAAGGGGGAAGGGTCAGGAACGGGAGGCAGGAACGAGAAGGGGAAAGGAGGTAGGAACGATGAAGAGGAACGCGGGGGTCAGGGGTGAGGGAGGTATGAGGAGGAAGAAGGACACATCTTTCTGTGGAGGGGATGACCTGCCACCACGCGGGAGAGAAGAGCAGGCGGAGGAACGTTTTGGGGAACTTTCACAGACAGGGAGAATCAATTATGCCGGGTGGACGACGCACAACAAAAGCAAGTCAGTGGGAATGAGTGGAGAATTCGGAGGTGCCCAGGTTGGTATGGAGGAGGAGGAGGAGGAGGAGGAGGAGGAGGAGGCGCAGGAGGAGAAGGAGCAGGAGGAGGAGGGGCAAACAGCAAGTAGCAAGTATCAGTGATCTAAGATTAAAGAGGGTTGAGCAAGGAGCAGGTGGAAGGATAGTTAGAGAGGAGAAACAGGAGGGTAGTAAACAAAATTGGAAGAGTGCAAGAGCTGAGGCAGGAGTTAGGAAGGACGCAGCAGGTGAATGACGAAGCAGCGGTGTGAATGGGGAACTGCAAACAGCTGGTGGGTAAACGGCGAGGGAGGCGAGAGCAGGATCTGATGGAGGAGGAGGATTGGCACGCCGGGCGGAGCACAGAGGAGCGAGGGAGGAGGCGTAGTACAAGTGAGTGGGGGGGGCTAGGACCATAGCATTGATCGGTAGGTGCACGGAGTTGGTATTGTTCGAACGTGTCTTCCATTACAAGTTCATGCTCATGTGTAGGCCATATCTCAAGCTCAGTTTCGGCTTCTCCACCTCCCTCCCCTCAGTCCAACGATGGCCAGGGCAAGTGACGGCACGTCGACGGACAAAGGAATGCAGCGACGCGACATGGGAGATGGATGAGGAGGGCGAAGACGACGACCACGACGAGGGAGAAGGGGTCCCGTCCTCCATTCGGCGGCAAACGAGGGAGGGGAAGTGAGAAGAAAAAGGTCTCCTCAGAATACGGCGGGACTTGTCAGAAGCCCTCGCGCCTTCTGAGAAGTTGTCTATGTCTTCGGGGAAGGCTTAGAAAACTGTTGACGCTTCGCGTATCCCCACCATAGATCCCTCCCTGCTCGCCTCGCCTTTCTCCCTCCGCGTTCCCCCCTGGTCTTTCGCTGGCCTGCGCCTCGGGAGCTGGCGCCACTGTGCGACCTTCCGCTGGCCTTCGCGTCTGCCGTTGCCCCTGTCCGGCTT